TGAAGCTGATGCTGAGGCCTCGGTGCTGGGCTGTGGGTTCTAGAAATGCCCTGAGATGTGGCCGCAGGTTGGAACCTGAAACTGAAGTAGCAGCCGAAGGGAGGCAGGAGGGGCTGGCCGTTCCCACGGTGGCTCAGGAGGATGGTCTCTGAGGTAGGCTCCAGGGGCACCTTGCCTTTCACACCTCACCAGCCGTGTGACCCTGAAGCCATGACCTGACCTGCCACCCTGCTCTCCTCGTCTGACAGCTATGGTGCAGCCTCCTCTGGGAGGCTTGGACGAGGCTGTGCAGGTGTAGCATCTCCTTGACCTTCTTAGTGGGTCCCTGGATTCTCATAGTGCTCTTAGGACACTGCTTCTACCAGAAAGACACAAATCAACACACGTGGGACCCAACAACAACTTCAAATACCTGACGCAAAATCAGTGTAAATGACGGGAGAAATAGACAAACCCACGGTCATCGCTGGAGATTTTAATACCCTCCTCTGAGTCTTAGGACAACTAAACAAAAAGCTGGTAATGGTGGATAAGATTTGAACAATACTACCGGCCCACCTGCCCTAGTTGGCAGGACTAGGACGCAATGCCAAACTGCCCCAGGATTCACATGTTTTTCAAGTACTTGGAGCATTCACCTGGACAGACCCTCCTCTGGACCTTCAAGTCATTCCCACTACATTTTAAAGGATTGAAATCTTTAAGAGTTTATCTATTATAACAGTAGGATTAAATTAGAGATCGACATGATATTCAGGACTTCTGCAATGGCTCAGTGGTAAAGAATCTGCCTGCAATGCAGGAGATACAGGCGACACGGGTTCAATCCCTGGGTTGGGAAGATCCCCTGGAAAAGGGATAGGCTACCCACTCCAGTATTCTGGCCTGGAGAATTCCATGGACTGTATAGTCCATGGGATTGCAAAGAGTCAGACACAACTGAGTGACTTTCACTTCACATGATATTCAGAAAAACCTTCAACATTTGGAAATTAAGCACTAAATTTCTCAATCTTCCATGGGGACAGGGAGAAATCATAAGGGAAACCAGGACACACCTATAGTGAAATGAATTAATAATGCTGCTTTCAGGACTTGTGGGCTCTAGGAGAAAAGCAGAAAGGTCTAAAGGTCTGAAATTAGTGATTTTAAGTTTTCACCTAAAAGTAGAGGAAAATCACAAATTAAACCTGAATTTAATTTCAGGTTGAAAAGTAGAAGGAAGAAAATAATAAGAATAGAAATAAGTGAAACAGAAGACAGACGATAGAACCTGCTTGTGTATCGGACTCTGGCCTCATCTGCCCCAGCTCAGGCGACTTTTCCAGGTGAGCCTGGCTGGGTCACGCTGCTTTGCCAGGCTCAGGCCTCATGGTGCAGGGTTGGGGGACACCAGGGCTCAGTGGGGGCAGCAGGGGGGACCTGCCAGATGCATGGCAGGTGCCAGCAAAGTACTAAAGTGAACTATTGAGGGAAAGCGCTGCTGGGGGATCTGAGTGATGGGGACCAGTGATGGGGAATTTTTTCCAGAGGGGGCTGCATAGCTGAGGGTGGGGCACCCGGACAGATGCACACCTGAGGGGCCTTGGAGGGACCCTGCTTCCAGCCCATGGCCAAAGCCGTGGTTCTGGATGGCCCTGTGCTGTGCCTGTGCCAGGTAAATGAACTACAGCCTCATGGAGACACACCGAGGAGGCTGTCCAGTGAAACCTGTGAGTCTGCAGGAACATGGGGACCTACTTCCATCCACGTGTCAGCATGGCGGCTTGTCAGTGTCCCAGCAGTCACTCTAGCAAGATGGTGATGCTGTAGCCAAGGGGCTGAACACAGAAATTTTGCAGGTGGCTATTGACAGTTCCCAGGACTTGTGTCCTTGCACACAGAGACACCCTGGCAGAAGAGATAAAGGCTCTGGTGTGGCCATGAGTTAACTCAACACTTGAGCTACATCTCTGCCAGCAGTCACCAGCTTATCTTCCGATGGGAGTGCAGCTTTGTGCGTGAGATCCCAGCTTCGCCCACCAAGCGCCCGCCCATGTTAGTATATTTGGGTTCAGTTTTGTGGTTTTGTGAAGAGGACACATAGAAACCCCGGCTGCTGGCACCACGTCATCTCCCCACCTGCCTGTCTTCCCAAGACTATTGCAGTTGGTTGCTGTCCTGCTGGGCAAACATTTAAAAATCGCTGTTACAACAATCAGGCCTTTTGCGAGATGCAAGGGTCATGGACTAGCCACTGCCAGACCACTGCGAGCCCTGGTGACTGGTAGCACATGCCTTTCACAACACTGGAACAGGCCCGCGATCCAGCTTGCCTGGAAGAAAGCAATGCCTGCGGTCATTAAACAAGCACTTTGTATTTTGAAATAATTATAGATTCACAGGAAGTTGCACAGATGGTGCAGAGGTGTCCTTCCTTGAGAATCCTCATTGGTAACATGTACACGTCACATAATACAGTCTGACATCACAGCTGGCACCGGGTCTCCCAAAGCGTGTGACCAGTCCCTGGTGTCCAGCATGCATGTGGATCCCAGGACACCCAGGCGTAAGTCTGTGCCCTCATGTCTCCCTCCCGTGGTCCTTTACTGTCAGCCGCCCTCGGCATCACTCACCCTGCAGCTGAGAGTCTGTTCTCTGTAGTTTGTCGTTTCAAGAATGTCCAACGAACGGAAACGTATTGGTGTGACCTGGGCCCTGCTTCCTTCCCTCAAGGTGGGCTGGGCGACCATCCACGCACTGCCTCATTGGTGCTCCTTCCTGCACCCGAGCCTAGTCCTGGTCTGGCTGTGTTTGGTTTGTACGTCTGTTTAGCCTTTCACCTGTTGCGGGAGATTTTGTTTTTTCTTGGTTTGGCTGTTGCGATCAAGGTGTGTGTCCAGGTAAGTGTGGACAGGTCTCCATCCCTCTGGGATAAGCCCAGGAGACCAATGGCTGGGATGTAGGAGTTAGATGGCTGCGAGGTTCCCCAGGGAAGCTGCTCATTTTCCACCCCCACCTCGGCAGTGGGCCAGGGTCCCAGCCTCTCCGCATCCTCACAGCGCTTGGTGTTGCTTTTCCCAGTGTAGTCCTGCTGGTGGGTGCCTTTGATGCCTCCTTGCCCCTCCCCAGCCCAGCCCACAGGACCCCCCTTCACCTTCAGCTAGGGTTCTAGTCTGGGTGGGCAGACCACCAGGACTTAGGAAGGACCTCAGGACTCCAGGCCTCCCACCTCGGGGAAGTTGCTCTGGACACAACACAGGCAGTCAGGAAGGAACTAAACTTCCCCTCAAATCCCAAATCAGCAAGTTCCAGATCAGTCAGGCTGGTTCAGAGCCGCCGATCTTGAACTCAGAAAATGATTTTTCTGAGAGATCTATTCAGCGGCGTTTTAATTCACTGTCTATTAACTTGATTGAGTTGTGCCTCTTGGATTCATGTTTTGAAGTCCTGGTTAGGTTTTCCATCAGCCTAGTGGGTCCTCGGCCTCCAGCTTGAGGTAGTGGTGACCTCAGGCCTGGGGGGAGGAAGTGAGGGGACCCTCCTGCTTCTCCCTGAGGCCCCTCCTGCCTGTAGGCCGGGGGCTGCTTCCCAGGACCCTGGTGTGAGCTGAGGGCTACATTTTCAGGGGTTTCTTACCCCAAAGCCCCTGTCCGGTCCTCACCCTCTCACTGGTTCAGCAGAGGGAGCATGTGGCTGGCAGGGCCAAGTCCTCTGTGAGTCCAGGTCCACACCAGGGACTGATGAGGCTTCCGTCTGGGGAGTCTCATGGGGACCCCTGGAGATTCCTCCGAACCTCATCTCCCCCCACCCCGGACTTAGCCTGGTGTCGAATGCACACACAGAGTCCTGGGTCACCCCCAGGGTCCATGAATCCTCAGATCCAAAGGCTGAATCGTGGCTGCCCTTCCTGGGAGGAAGTGTGTCCTTTCATTGAGTTTTCAGACTCCCAAGGTCAGTCCAGCATCCTCATATTCAGGATGGAGATAGTGCCACCGACCCAGCCTCGCTGGACCATGGAGAGACTGGCACCATGGGGGGCCCCAGGGACTTTTTCATGGTGGGGTCACAAGCTGGGAGGGCTCAACTGGGCTCCAGATCCAAGCTGCCTCCCCTGTCGGCCACTGTGAGAGGCAGTCGAGCTACAGCCTTGCCGGGCGCTGGTCCCATGAACTTCAGGGTCAGAGTCTGGTGAGCGCACGTCCACCCTTTCTCAGGACTGTGAGCTTTCCTGACATCACCTTAATGCCCCTTGGCCAACCAGGGTTTCTGCCCCCCTCCATGGAGTAGAGGGCCCTGCTCAGAGGGGCTCATGGGTGTCCTGCCCCCTCCACGGAGGAAGAGGACTGGCTCAGAGGGGATTACAGGTGTCCATGTGCCTGGCTGGACAGATCACCAGGATCCTGACTAGGTTCCTCTGACTTCAAAGCTTCAGCTCCAGCCTCTGTGCTGTCTGGTGTCTGAGGCATGTCCTCCAGGGTGACAGGAGGAGGCTAATGAGCCTGGGGTCAGCTATGATGCTGCAGCCCCTGAAAGACACATCCTCTGAGTCCCCTCATCTCAGGGACCAGGGACTGTGGGCTGATCGGGCTGCGACGCTGCTGTCGCACTCAGCTCTGGACCAGATGGAAGTGACCCTGAGCCTCTGGGAAGACTGTGCTTCCTGCACACCTGGCGTTTTTGTGACGTGGATAGCCCTGTCTCTGGGGATTGACACCCACCCTGTCTTATCCGAGAGCATCAAGGGAAATGCAGCCTCCTCCAAGTCCTGAAGAGGAGCCCCCCTCTCCGGGCAGGGGTGGGAGGGGGTCTTTGCTTTGCATTTCAATGGGTTTTTATGAACCCACCTGTGTGCACACAAAAAAAACCCCTTCTGTGCAGGAGGGGGGTAATTTCAGCCTCGCACAGTCTCGGGGCCTCTATTGTTCCCCAATGTACAGATGTTCGTTCCCCTCCCCCCTCCACGGCTGTCTCGCTATGACGACATAAATACGACGTGTCTCCCGCCAGCTCGAAAGCCTTTGTTTCCAAGGACAGCAGCCTATTATGATGTCACGGGTGGGACAGTAATCACCACCCCCACCCTAGAGTCTAACGCAGACAATGAAAGAGGCTGCGGTAGGCCCGGCAGAGGAGGGGAACCCAGGGACGGAGGAGAGGGCATCTCACCCAGACTGGGTACCAAGCTGGGGCCTCCCTTCTCCGTGGGCCCTGCCCTGCTGACCACATGGTCACTCGGGAAGGGAAATGGCCTTGAGTGGCCGTGACGGTGTCTGGGCTTGACCTCGGCTCTGGCTTAAGAGTGTAATCGCCTCTGTCCACCCACCCCCTGGGATTCGGGACACAGCACCAGGCCTCAGGTGTGGAAGCCCCGACAGACCAGGCCAGTCCCCTAGGCTCGGCGTCCACCTCCTGCGGCCTGAGGTGCAGTCAGGACAGCAGGTCATTGGTGAAGACTTTGAATGAAACCTGTCCTAGAGACTCATCACAGCACAGCGTCGGGGGCGTCTCCTTCCTTCCACAGACGCCAGAGAGATTTGATGAAATAAAACATGTTCTTATGATATTTAAAAAGCCTCGCAGCAAACTTGAAAGAGAAAGGAACCTTCTCCACCTGACCAAGGACAGCAGACACCCCGCACACTTCATGGAGCCGTCAGGGGCGGCGTGGGGTCGAGGCAGGAGCCTTTGGCCATAGTTTTCTGTCTTACAGGATGCCATGTGGTTGGAATCACAGTCTATAGCCTTCTTAGGTTAGCATCTTTCACTAGTAATATGCATGTCATTTCCTCCATGTCTTTTCTTGGCTCGATAGTTCATTTCTTCTCGGAGCTGCATAATACTCCTTTGTTCCTATGCCCTTTTTTTGCCAGTAAAATGAGGCTGTGTGACCAGTTGGTCAGCATGAATCTGGCCAGCCACACCCAAGGTCTGCTCACTCACCTGAGGACCACAACCCCTGGGATGGAAGTCCGAAGGCAAGTTCCCTCTTGGTGGCCTCCCCCACCCCACCCTGTTTTGTTTGCATGTTTAGGCAGAAACTTTTTGCCTTTTTCTCTCTGCTCTCTGAGGTCCTCCGGCCCCAAGGCCACTGACTGAGGGTCCCTGAGTGGGTGGAGTCTACCTCACCTGTCCGGGATTAGGGAGAAGTGTCTGCTGATGCTCCCTCCTGGGGTGGCACAAAGGATCCACAAAGTATCTTCTTTCCAGAATGGTCATCTAATCCCACCCAAAAGTTGATCACAGGCCCAGAGACCCATCCCTCCTGGGTGAGATTGGAGGGAGTGGGCATTCCAGCTCCTGGGTCCCTGGGAAGTCAGTCCTGTCCCAGTAGTGTTGGTGCCCCCCCCCTCTTTTTTATGCACATTTAAAAGGCAAACATCAACTCCTCCCCCAGACTCCCACGATGGGCTCCTTCTTCTGTTACATTTTCAATTACACTCTCACAGCATTCTCATTAGAGACGCGAGCTTGTCTTCATTAAAGACAAAACTAACTTTCCACCACGGAGAGGCCTGGGTGAAGAGGGTAATGATTGAATTTCTTCATTTCAGAGAATTGCATCTCTTATCCTGGGGCGATGTCTGTAAATGCAGACAGAGTACTGAGAGAGACTCCATTTCCGTGACTTTGTGGAGTGACGGAGCTGCCTCCTGGGGTCTGGCATCCTGTCTGTGGACGTGGAGGCTTGAGGGAACCACTGACCTGTTAACCCCATGGCCTCGCACAGCCCCCTACCCTCCCTCAGCTCCCCCAGCTTTTGAACAAAAAGTCCAGGCTCCACCCAGTAAGGACAGGGTGCCCGTGGGGCTCAGCTCACCTGCTCTTCCTGCAGGAACCACCCGGCTGCTGCCGTCCAGGTCTCGGGGCCCTTTGTAAAGCGCAGCTCAGAGATGCCCTGTCCTCCATCACCTAAGCCTGGTGGTCCAGGGGCTCGCCCCGAGTTGCCTCCCCATGAGGCCCCTGAAGCTCTGCTGAGGCCCCTCAGCCTCCAGCCAGCAGCTCTCTTTTCTCTCGGTTTGCGTTGTGTAATTTCAGCAGCAATGAAACAAATGCAGTCAGGCATCTCCGGACTGTCTGAGCACCCACCCCAGCCCCACCCCTCGGTGCTGTGTGGGCCTCCCCTTCCAGGAGGGCCTCCTGGATCTCCCAACCCAGACCCAAGCAGGGTCTTGCCTCCCCTCCCCACCCCAGCCCAGTCTCTGCCTTTGGTTGTGTGACCCAGACTCCTAGCAAGCAGCCTGGACCCCACAGCACTCTGCAGGCAGGGATGGGGCTGGTCTGGCTCTGAGCTGAAAGATGAGGACGTGAGAATATGGAGATGAGTGTTGTGAAAAAACGGGGATTCACAAGTATGGAGCTGAGGACTTGTGAATCTGCAGATGGGCATCCGTGGACATGGAAATAGGGTCGTGAATATGGAAATGAGACTCTTGAAAATGGAAATGTGGTAATGAATATGGTAATCTATATGATTATGGAGGTGAGACATGAGTATAGAGATGAGGGCTTGTGAGTATGGAGATGAGATCGTGAATACGGAGATGAGGACACATAACCGTGGAGAAGAAGGCTTGTGAATTTGGAGATGAGGACACATGAATATGCAGGTGGTGCTATGGTAATATGGACTTGAGGACTTGTGAATACTATGGAGATGAGGCCTGTGTGTTGGCACCCACCACCCCAGGTCACTGGTGCATGGGGTCATCCACCCAGACCCCACTCTGGGGGAAGAAATTTCACCTCTTGGGAATGAGGCTGGCCCTGCTTGGCGTGGGGGGTGGTGGAAGTAGGGGGCAGTGCCACCTGCTGGCCACAGTCCTTCCAGGAAATGACCCCCACATCCCCCTCTTAGCAGTTGGCACACACTGTACCCCAAGAGCAAGATGCCCTTCTCTCGAGGTTCTTCCTTCTGGGGCTCCCGGCCTTAGTGCAGGGGGTGGGGGAACTGGGGATTCTGCCCTGTATGTCTGGCAGAAGGACGGTGCCGTGTGGGACCAGGGCCCTGATGGCCATCCTTCCTCCCGGGACTGTCCTGTCCTCAAGGCCTGCGAGGGGACCGGTGGTGCCCCTGAGAGTGGATGGTGCTGGAGCATGTGGCCAGCAGTGGGCATTGCTGGTCAGAGTCCTGAGCTGGGGAGAGGAGGTTTGCACACCCAGAGCAGGCATGCTTCTTTACTTAGGTAAATGGCCACGTAGATGTGGGGGCCGGGAGCTGGGCACATGGAGCTTCTGATCTGGGCCATCTGGTCCTTGGGGGCTCCTGCCACATGTCAGGAGGGGATAATAAGCACACCCCCAGAGTGCTGGGAATACCCTAAACCCAGGAGACACAGCAGGCAAGAACAGAACTGTAGGACGGGGACAGAGGGGTGCTGGAGAGGACCCCTGTGTTGGGGTGGGCCCGCCTGCAGCTGAGTTCCTGTCCTTCCTATCCCTGAAGATGAGGCCCAGCAGCCAGGAGTGGGTGGCTAGGGCTGCAGACAGGATCCCCAACCCACCCAGGCAGGAGGCATATGGTTGGGGGGGCCTCAAGGAGTGTCTGAGGTCTGTCCAGCTGTCTGTCCACACACGGGATGTCCTGGCTGTGTCCATCCAACGCATCTCATCCCGATCTTGTGCCAGGCTTGTGGGTTCCAGGAGTCATTTCTGAGCCTGTGAGGCTCCACCTCCTTTAAAGCCGAGAGGTATGTAGGTCCCCAGGGAGAGATTGGTCTCCTGCCCGATTTGCCACCAGGGGACTGTGATTCATCCCATACAGAGCTCACAGCCGAGCTCTGCGTGCCCGAATCCCAGTGTTCCTGCCATGACAATAAATGTGGAATTAGGGGCCCAAAAATGCCCGGGGGTTGGGGCAGCGGGGGTGGAGGAGGCAGGGAGCAGGAGCTGCCAGAACAGAAGGCTGATTTCATCTCATGTTTCTGGGTGAAGATGCCATGTCTGCTGTGAATGAAGTTGCAGCTGAGTCTAGAGCCTCTGGTCAGATGGGAATTTCAGAGAACAGCAGGATGGGGGTGTGAGGACGTCCCTGCAGTACTGGGGTAAGTTCCGCTTAGAGGTATCTCTTGTTTTTCTAAAATTTCAGTTGAACTAGGACAGGGCAGCCTGTCTGGAAGGGAGGAGACCCCCAGTTGGAGGTGGGGCCTCCTCTCAGCCTGGGGGTGAAACCAGCCAAGGACCTCAGCATCCAGTGATAAGTGCTCCCACAAGTTCATATCCATCCAGAACCTCAGACAGTGACCTTGTTGGGAGACAAGGTGTTTGCATAAGTGATTAGTTCAGAATTTTGAGATGAGACCATCCTGCATTGGGCTGGGTCATAAATCCACCTGTTATAAGGAGAGAAGGGCAGAGGGAACCACAGAAGAAAGTCCATGTGAGGATAGTCAGAGTTGGGAGGGAGGCAGCCACAAGCTCAGATGCCTGGAGCCCCTGGGGTCTTGGAGAGGCAGGAGGGACCTTCTCTTGGAGCACCCAGAGGGAGCATGGCCCTGCCACATCCTGATTTTGGATTCTGGCCTCCAGATCTGTGAGTGCATCACCTGGGTTGGTGTTTCTTTAGAGTTGCAACAGTAAGTGAGCCGATTAGGAACAGAAACGTCTGGACTATAGATCTGGTCCTCGATGGAGCAAGGTCTCCCTGTCCCAAAGCTTTCAAACATGTCTATGATGCACACACATGTGCCTGTGTGTACATGCCTGTGAGCACAGATACACACACATGCTCCTGTGTGTACATGCCTGTGAGCACAGATCCACATGCCTCCATGTACGCACACACAGGTATGCACACCCCATGCCCTGTGTAAATGCCCCTCCTGGCTTCCAGATGTGCACGGAGCAGCCCCATAACTACTGTCGGCTTGAGGGTTGTGGTCCGGGTAAACTCTAACAAACATCACGATGGGAACACCCAGCTCTGGGTGATATCCCCACATGCCTGATACTCCACAGAAGATGTGGGTGGAAGGCATCTGTTGTGATGGCTGAGGTGGTGTCTTCACTGAACATAAGCTGAAGGATTTGGTTCTGCCCTGGGGTCTGGGTGGGGGGTGCTGTTCAGGCCGCAGATTGTTGACAGTCAGCATGGCAGGCACCCATAGGGGGCTGTCCCTCCAGGCAGTGTTTGATGAGTGCAGTTCCCATGAGTGCTGAACAGAGAAGCCAAAACATCCCGTCCCAGCTGCCCCCAAGTCCTGCCTCACATAACAAACACACACTGATCACCTGCATCCTTCCCTGCAGAAGAACCCTAGCACTGTCGCCACTTCAGGGTCACCCGCCTCAAACATGTTTCAGAAAACAGACATGTCTCAGCCACCTCATCCCAAACAATAGCCACCCCACCACCACCCCGTCCCCCAGCTCAGCAGCCTCTCTGGGGCTTTGTGTGCACACAGGCAAGTGCTTGCATATGCATGGGCCTCCACCTGTGGGCAAGTATGTGGAATGCCTGGAAAGAGCATGTGTGCAAGCATGCATGCATGTGAACATGTATGTGCACAGTTTTCACTATTGAAGCTTCTGAAAGACACACAAAGCTGCCCATTTAGTGGAAGAAAATGGTGGGGTGAGCAGAGGAGAGCCCCCAAGGGCCCTTGAGTGGCCACTCAGCCAGGCTGGCCAGCCCACCAAAGTCCAGGAGCTGGTCGGGGGCATGCCTGCCAAGGCTCTGAGGGGACCCCGCCCCCCCCCCCCCCAGGGCTGGCCCTGCCCTCAGAGCCTCCTGACCTCAGGGGCCTCCTGCTGGAGGATATGATTTGCAGAAGGCACCTGGAAGGCAGGGCCATGAAGGGGCCGGAATGGTGGCCTCACCTCATCAGTTCCACAACAGAGTCTGTAGGGAGGAACACTGAGGGGCCTGCTTTTTAAATTACTCTGCTAATTGATATGAAACAAAAGGGATGCAGGTTTGTGGCAATTAGCAAATTAATTCTCAACAATTACAGACTCCATCGTGGAGCAGCTTTGCAGGCCTATGTGGGGTCTTGGTTCACTGACAGTGTTTTTAGAGAGACAGAAAGGTGGACTTGGGGCAGAGGGAGAGCAGGAGTAGAGAAGATGCTGGAAGGTGAACCAGTAACCCAGAGCAGGTGACATCCAAAGTCCCTCAGTGAGGCTTCAGTTTGGACAAATGCCCCCTTCCAGGAAGAGGAAACCTCATCCTGCTGGTGGGACGGAGGCCCTGAGGTGTTGTGAGGTCCACCCCCCAGCCCCCCAAAGCACACAACTAGGGAGCTGGGGGTGAGTGAACTTGGACTGGCCTTTTGTTCTGAGTCAGGGATGCTGAGAGAGGTAACGTGGGCCCTCTTGTCCTGGAGAAGCTTCATCCAGCATGACTTTGTGCATCAGCCCTTGTGATCCTGGGGTCCCAGGGCAACAGCAAACCGGTGCGGGGGCTGAGAGGCAGGCGCTGTCCAAGGTGCTGAATGGTGCCTATTGACCCAGCCCTCCACCCTCCAGACCCTTGGCTGGCTGTCTGTTCCCGAGCATAGTATCTCCAGGATGGAACCCTGCAAGTGCTCGGCTCTGTGGCTGCTACCTGCACAGACATGTGGCTCCTCACAGGTGTATTCACCTGGAGGGCAGATTTAATTGCAAAGAACCCCAAGGACTTTGTGAATTACTGTTTCCCATTGCAATATACGGGGCTTCCCAGGTGGCACAGTGGTAAAGAATCCACCTGCCAATGCAGGCGATGCAGGAGTCACAGATTTGATCCCTGGGTTAGGGAGATACCCTGGTGGAGGAAATGGTAACCCACTCCAGTATTCTTGCCTGGATAATCTGATAGAGGAGCCTGGAGGGCTGCAGTCCATGGAGTCGAAAAGAGCTGGACATGACTGAGTGACTGAGCGTGAGCACGACTGGAATATGTGTGCACTGGTATTTCACTGCATTTAATGAAAGAAGAGGTGAGTGGCTACAAGGCCAAAAGTCAGGTGCTGTTGTACTCTGTTCCTGGCTCTGGGCCACATGAGGGTTCAGGTGAGAAGAAATTCAGGCTCGTGCTCATGGAGCCCACAGCCTAGTCGGATGGGGTGCCCGGCCTAGAATGCAAACTCGAAGGCTCCCATGCAGAGGCGATGGCAGAGGAGACCTCCCTGGGAGAGGGCCCGCAGCTTCAGTGAGCTACCTCTTCAGGTACTGATTAGAGACACTAGGGAGAGAAAGAGTGGGGCGAAGGGTATCCTGTGTCCTCCCACCCTTCTGTAATTTCCAGCGTGGCCAGTCACTGGGTAGCTGCCTGTGAGCTCTGCATCTAAGCCATCGCCTCTGGAGCCTCCTCAACCACCAAGTCTTACCTTGTCCTGAAGAGGGCACTTCAGGTGCCTGCCTTCTGCTCCTGTGTTCCCAAACCAGGGGTCAGTTCACTCCTGCCCACCCCTTCCCACACCTGCCTAGAGTCAGTCAAGGTCTGAGTCACACTCAGCTGTCCTCAGCTCACAGGCCCAGGGACAATATTAGCAACCTCCTCCTGGTGACACGTCCTTCTACCCAGAAAGAGCTCTCGCCCTCAAACCAATCTTCCTGTCTGTCATCTCCTTCAATTTTCTCTGCATTTTGAGATGCAGCTGGGTGGCAACCATCACCCCCATTTCACTGATGAGGAAGCTGAGTCCTGGGAGGGCCCAGTGCCTTTGAACAGAGTTGGGACCAGACCAGTTTCCTGTGTGCCTCTGGAGTGCCTATGTACATGTGCCTGTATGTGTGCACACACATGGGCATGTGGTGTGTGTCTTCCGTGTGAGCACACATGGTTGTGCATGCATGTGAGGGGAGGGGCTCTGTCCACCTCGCTCTGCCAAGATGCTGAGTGAGACCTCCTACCTGTGTTGTGGCTGAAAGCTTCACCCTTAACTCTTAGACTCTTAATCCTTAACTCTGCTGGAGAGTCTTGCTTGGACACTCTGTGGTGGTTTGCTTCTCACCCAGGCTGTCAGCCCTGCCCCTGGGGGACAGTCAGAGCCAGCACCCCCTTGATGGCACCCTGACGTGATAGGATAAAGGTCACACACCAGTGTGCCCCACAGGCAGGAACCTGGGTCTGCCTCTGGCCACTGAGCCAATGCCCTCTGGAGCTCAGTTCACACTTACTGAAGGAAAAGCAGGTCCCATTTATTATTTTAGTGTCTACTTCAGTATACATAAGCATGCTCCCCAAACTGCAAATACAGGGAAATGTCACAGCTGGTTTGAATCTCAGTGGAGCAGATGCAGTCGGCTCCGCCCCTCTCCTGGGCCGCCCCCTCACAAGCTCCAGTTTATTCCCACCTGCCTTCTCTCTTTCTCTCTACCCCGGCTTTTCTCCTGAGCCACTGGGGAAGTGAGGAGGCAGGGAGCAGCCTCCCCGCCATGACAGGAGGAGTCAGAGTGTGCACGCTGGGGCCCCCACCCTCCGGGTACACCCACCTCTGGGTATGCTCGCATCCAGAATGCCACTGCACCCCTCCCCACTGCCCTACCCTGACCAGATTCCCTAAGAGCACCCTCCCTTGTGTGTGTGCACATGTCTGTGCACTTGTGTGTGTACATCTGTCTCTGGGGGCCCCAAACAGAGAGGCAGGTCCCAGGCATCAATTCTGGGGGGTGACATGCCTGGCTTTCTGCCAGGAGCAGAATACAAGGGCCCGAGACCCCAGCTCTGTTTAAACCCCCAATGATGCTCTTGTGATGAGAGTTTCTGGCAGCAAATGGACTTCTGGGCTTAGTGCTACCTGCTGAATTTTCTTCCCATTCTGCTTCACAAAGACATACTTGATGCCCCCTGAGTGCTAATGCCTTATTTGTTTGACTTTTGTTCAGAAGCAATTTTATGTTCCAAAGTCTCATCTCCAGCGTGAGAGTCCTGGCCACCCTAAACAAAAATATCTCAAGGGTGATCATGACATCTTGCTTTAACTGCTAAAAAGAGAGGAAGAGAAAAAAATTCCATGGAAAGAGATGTGGAAATTCACCTAGAAATTGCTGGTTCACTACCTGAAAATTCTTAAATCTACATCTCTCTCCATCACTTATTTTAAAGGCTATTTTTAAGAGC